TCAACTGTTATCTCTTCGCGATAGTCTATCTATATAAATTAATAATTATCATAATTCGCGTATTCGGACTATAATTAATATTAAAATATTGTAATATCGACTTATCGTTTATGATTATGAATGTGTACAACGTCTACCGCAGAAGACGAACGTTATCTGTATAATATTCTATTGGAACCGAGGGTAACGCGTTATTATGTATGAGCTAAAAATATTAATAAAATATTATGATTATCATCAAATTCTTACCTATGTTTGTTTAGTATTCGGCCGATCTTAACGTCAAAAACAGTAATCTACGTGCGCATTACCATATAATATAATATAATATAATACTAATATAATATATAGGTAACAAGTGTCAGCAAGGTATCAGGTTTTTTTTGTTACTTGTCTATGTCATATAGCTATAGTCTATATTTATCATACTTTACGATATTTTGTCTACTATATACGTACAATGTAATTATTTTATAGTAAATATATTATTATTATAATATTATTACCTCAGTTTTTGTTTTTCAGCCGACCATGCGTCGTTCATCCTTATTGATTTATTTGTAAATTATAAGTACCTATATTAGGTATAATATATTATATTGATATTACATACCAGTGCGGTGCGGCGTTTCACTTTTGCACACATCCTTGTGCAGTTATTTTATGTATTATATTTTTTTTAAATTCTAATTGCATATTATTCTAGGTCATAAACATCCGGATTTGAATCATAACTAGACAATCTATTATTGTTTCCCAAGACTAAGCGATCCGACAAAATAGTAATGCTCTTGAATAATGTTTCCTGTGCAATTCCTCGGTGTATAACAATTGTTGAGAAATAGACCATTTTAATACACAGTAAATTACATTCATATTAAATGTTGTTATTATTATTAGTAGTAGTATCATTATTATTATCGGGAGACTTGTGATCATTACAATATTATATATTACAATATTAATACGCAATTATCATTTCAATGAAAAAATGATTGTTATCACTGCATGATAGTTATAATTTTTTTTTCGTAATAATTTTTTTCAACCATACGTATTTTTACTCCGATTATTACTATTGAAACTTTCATTACGGAATTTCAAAACTATGACCACCGTTTCCATCCAACATCGCAAATGTATGCAAGCGGCATACGATATTTTATACTATTGATGTTATCATAAATCATAATATTATACTTTATTGTCGACAAAAACAAAAAATCATCATCAAGTACCATGTTTTAAGTACCCATCAATAGACAATAATAATAAACCACGCGAATCATTAACAATCGTTTTACTAACAATTAATGTACGTTCGAATTATTATTTGATCCAATATAAATGGCTCTTTTATAAACACACTATATATACACAGCCAACTAGAGCAGCTAGTGATCCACTTGACAAAGCGTGTTTGCACTGAGACGAATTATTAACAAAACCTCCTATATAGGTACTCTCTTTGACTAGGCGGTTTTTTTTCGAACAGAACAATTGACAATTATTAAGTGTGTATTTTATAATAAATTATTATATGGACTTGCGGCAATCATTGTGCATAATAATATATTATAATATGAGGACTAAAACAATTGTTCTTAACTAAACATATATAAATATAGGTACATTAAAGCTTAATATAAATTATTATGGTTAAGTACAGGTAATACCTATGCGTGTTAACGAACATGTAATGCAATACGTATAATATATACACACTCAAAGCTGTAAGAACAAGAAGTATGAGTTTTTTTTTAAGTTCATATTTTTAGTGAGTATTATTCATATAATAGTTTTTTTTTCTTTCAAAATAATGGCTGTACATTTTTGATTCTGACTGAGGAATGTATTGCAGGTTTTACAATGTTTTTGTCTATCAACACTTTTTGGAGCAGAAAAATTGCTTCGGTCTACAACATTTATAGTAGTTTCTTGTAATTTGATCTTGTTGTTATTTTGAGAAGTCAAAAGTAGGGAATTCTCTGTACTTTTGTTAATAGTTGGGAAAAACTAACAAAAAAAGTTTCTGTTTCTTTAGCTATATTATGTAAGTATAGATATTTTAAATGTTCCACTTTATTACGATTTATGTAAATCCAAATTTTATACCTCGATCAAAAATCGTAAAAATTGAAAGGTAGTAGGTAGTGTAGGTACATACAATATTTGCTAGAGTAGTTAAAACGTAACTAGCGAAAAACAATGTTACGGTTTTCTTTCATAAGCTATTCTACAGTTTTTCTTGAAATATTCTTTTGTTGTAATTTAAAAAAATACATTATTTAACCATAGAAACTTTAAATTATTCTCTTTTTTGGATATTTTTATTTTCTATGAACAATGAAATGTTAGTCTCGTGATTTTTATACAATTAATTGACTGGAACCCCAGTGATTTTTTTAAAGCCTGTCACCTGCTATAGTATTATTATTTATTTTTGAAAATTCTAATTGCACCTATACACAGTGAGCTCTTAGACAAATAAACACATCTTTATTATAATTTTACTTTTTAATAAGTCGCTTTTGTATATGTTTTGTACATTTGGTAATTGGTTGTGTAAACATGAATACACGATTGTTATTATTATAATATTATAATATTTATTATTATAATTATTATCATTGCAATAATAGTTGCATCATAAAGTAGAAAATCTTTATCGTTGCTCAGAAAGTTGGTACAATCGGAATTGGATAATTCGAAGTTGAAGGGACCTGTCAAAAAGTTCAAGTAATCAAAGGATAATACAATTATCGGAAATTATAGAAATCCTCAAAAAGTTCGAGGTATCGACGATTTCGAATTAAATAATTCGAGCCAACCAAGGTCTACTATCTTTTTTTTAGTAAGGGATGAAAAATCCCATATAGCATCGTTTGAAAATATAACACTGAATGTTAAGTAGGTAGCGTTAAATCTAAGTATTATCATATTTGTGATGTGCCCGTCTATGCAGCTATATACCTATTGTACAATCCACAACGTCACTTGTACCGCAGTCAATATTGTTATAACGCTATAACCATAACTATATTGTAACTACTAAAGACACTGCGTAAGTACACCTATATATATATATACACACACACGTCATAACGATGATGTTCGTCGTTAATCGATAGCGTCGCGTCATAAACGTTAAACTATAATAATATATCGATAGGTATAACAGTACCATTATGATATTGTCAACATAATAATATATAGGCGATGCGAGCGCAATGTGCATACACATAATATGTATAATTATTATATACTTAAAATACATATATCGGGTGATTCATAGTTTAATAACGCAATACACTCATTGTTTCGAAAACTATTAATGTTTTTTACATGATTTTAACTTTTAAGTAGTTTATCAACAACATTTTTCTAAAAAAGTATATTTTTACTATTTTATATAATTATTATTTTAATATTTTTTAACATTTTTCCTCTTTTTAATCACAACTTGCATTTTTAATTCCTTATTACCAAACAAAATATTTTTTCGAGTGAGTACTTCGATCTATAAAATTTTGGATTTTGGATGAATATGTTGATTATGAGTTATATCTATATATTTAAAGTTGAGAAAGTGGAGTGGTGTAATCTGACAAGGATACCTCACTACCCCGTAGAATGTTAGTCGACTATACTACGCTCGTCTAAACTTTAAATGCTTACATTTACCTAGGTATACGTTTTTTTCCCATTTCAAAAATCGGAAACGGGTGGGAACTGTTTATCACAATACTCTTTATACCCACGTATACCTGATAATCTACATGCCCACAATAAGATTTTTATAGATCGAAATAGTATGTTTGATATATTGTTACGGAATGTGAAATATAAAATGTAAATACCTATGTTTTGATACAAAATGTTAAAAGTTTTAAAAAATAAAGTATACATTTTTACCAAAAATTTATAGTTTTGAAAAGATTTAAAATTATGTAGGTAAAAGAAATATTTTCAAAAACATTAGTGTTTTCTGAAATAACAATGTGTGGAGTGTAGCTTTAAATTATATAATATATCAGATATCTATATACATAGGTACATCCACAGGTACATACATAGGTATAGTTAGTTACCTATAGTTAGGTTGTTGTAACATACATATATGTTTTCACTATATAACATAATATTATAATATTATTATTATTATGTATCTGTGTGAGTGTGTGCGCGCAAACGCAAGCGCGCGTAATGAATAAAATAATTAATAACGTAAACGTCCCGGCGGTCGTCCGTCAGATGGCACTGACCAATGAGCGACGGCGGCGGCGGCAGCGGCAGCGACGACGACGGCGGCGCGCGACCTCTCGCAGTGTGCTATTCGTAATCGGGGCGTAAGAGTGCACCGGTGCTCGGACGACTTACCCCACGTGCGCGCGTATATCATGCGATGTGCCCCGCCGCCAGTCGTCACATTACCGTTAACGCGTGCGAGTCGAGTGTGAAACCGATTGGTGTTTAGAAAAATTTTCCGTTCCGTTAGTATTTTGTTTGTCGAAACATATACAATTGTTTTCGCAAATGAAATAAAATATTAAACGATCGCGTTTTTAGATAATTTTTTTAAATTTTTTTTCCCGTTCGTGTTTTCAATGAAAAATCACTGATCGGTCCAAACGATTATTAAATATTTCTCGTCGTTTGCACTTCGCGGTGAAAAAGAGTCATCCATATAAAATAATACATTATCAATCTGGAACGTGTGCGATCACGATGGACACTACCTAACAGAACATTTCGTCCGAAATAGCATAACAACAACAACGACAACAATAATAATAAATCTACCTATCATAATATTATGTGCCGCGTGACACTCGAGTGGTTTTCTTGTTGAATACGCGTTAATTTTTTTTTCGTTCTTGTTATTTTATAAACCGTTGATAACGCTTATATACAGTTCCGACGACCACTTCACACCACCCCAAAAATACCCAAAATACCACCTACCCCTAACATCTACACTGCTGCAATGACGGACCCGTATGACGACCGACACAATCCGTACAAAGAAGTGGGTCGGTGGTGGTGATACGCACGACATGTCGAATGGTGGTGACGGCGCAGCAGGTGCAGTTTGCGCGTGTGGCCGTCGCCGTCGCCGTCGTCGGGCAGCGTCGTCCTCGTCTCCGTCGCCGTCCGTGCTGGCCGTGTGGACGACGGCGTTCGTACTGGCCGTGGTTGTAGGCGGCGGCGGGGTCGAAGCTCTACATTCGGCCGCTGCCGTCTCGACGGCTGGCGGTGGCAGTGCTGCTGCGGCAGCTGCGGCGATGGCGGCTGGCCGGATGGCGCCGTGCGCCCACCTGGGCGACGAGACCAACGACGTGTCGGCCCGGGCGTACGCGTCCGACGTGGTGTTCGAGGGCAAAGTCCGGTCAAAGGGCCCGGTACGGCCCGGGGATGGTACGTACGGCGTCACGTTCGTGGTACAGCGCGTGCACAAAGACGCCATGCAGGCGGTCACGTACGAGGGACTGCGGGTCGGCAGCCCGGTGCGGCTCAACTTTCGCGAGAAGCGCGGTGACCGCGACCCACCGCAGCGGAGGCCGCCGCTCCAGCGCCGGGTGGACGCACAGTGTGTGCAGCGGTTCGCGCCGGCCGCCGGTGGTCAGACCGTCGAAGCCAACATCAAACGCGGCGCCAAGTACCTGGTGTTCGTGGCCGGCGTCGGGCCGCACAACCTGTCCGTGCTCGGCGAACCCGTGTTGCGGACGCCCAAGAACGTGGACGCCGTGCAAAAGGTTCTGTGCAGGGACTGTGGTGAGTACCATTTACCGCGTTAATATTATGTTAATCATTATTATAGTATCTTTATCATGGTAAATATTATACGACACGCTGAAGTGGCGTATTTACGGTTTTACACGTCCTTATAGTAAACACTATTCCTGATTCGCCGCCTATGCCACCCTCCCATCGTATGCTTATCGTATAGGATATACGATAAACACGATAAACATAAATGATTAACATATCTAATATCTATTTTATTGCAGTCTTCTGCTAGGTATATAAAAAGAAAGATTAATTTTAGTAGAATATAATAATATCGAACATCTTCTTTAAACCAATTTACTAATAATTATTAGTGTTTCCTTTTTTTCACCGAATAACGTGTACGTATACAAATAAAAGCTATGCTTTGATATCCGAGTGAATTATTATTCCAACATTTGCCACCCTTAAAATGTCACCGCTCTAAGCCCTATAGGACTGTACCTATAAATACGCCCATGTATATTATATACATTGGACCCTATAATTGGGCTCCACTGGCATTTTTAAATTTAACGACTGACATACCTGACGGACGTGTCGTGATATTTCGCAATCGTAGAAGCTCCAGTATTGGACGTATTTAAGACCAAAAGGTTAGAACTAGTGGTCCGTATTAAAATTTAAAATGGCCCATTGCGGCGACGGTCGACGTGCAGGAATAGTGTGACCGCACTTGGCCTCACAGTTGTTTGGTGGTATCTATATTATATTATGAAAAATATTTGTATCTATATACGAACATTTTATAACTACTCTTCTTCTGAAAATAATTGTATATTGAACTGAGAGGATGTCAGCGCACTATTCACTTTCTTCTCTGTCTTATAACTATTACTCTGATCCACGCGCTATATGGCAAATTTTCGTTAAAACCGTTATTAGCTTAACTATAAGAATTAATTGAATATTATCAAACTTAACATAATCTGTCTTTATTCATTTGACTTCTTACGATATTTCAATTTAGTCAAACAATGCAATTTAATAATGCTCACGTACAAACACACATACAGTTTACTTAACTTAAGTAACTGCACTATACCTAGTGCAATTCACTCTTAATACAATAAAGCTACATTTTCTATATTATGTTGCACGTAAGCTACATATAGTATACAAACACTGATATCGTTTTAAGGATTGAGTCCGAAATGATCATTTTTTAGTTGTCCCGGGACTTATAATTATAAATTGCACAGGGACAGCTAACTTAATTCATACAAAAATGCCCATTAAAATAGTTGAAATTTAATTAAAACACTATAATAATATATAAATATGGTACCAATACTGCCGCACAACCCTCCACGCAATTTTTCTCAGATAGTCTTCGCCTAACCCAAATTATCTGTGTTCGATTTCTGGTCTATTGAACTTTTTGTCGTTTCAAAAATGGTTTTCCAAAATATCACCCACTCATCCACAAAAAACAAATTAAGTCCCTTCGAAAATAGTAAAACCAATATGTTTTTACTCCCACTACTATTAGTTAAAATCTCACTGCAGCTATTCACTTGAACTTACCTATTGCACATCGACGACCGTAACCTACAATAATAACATACTTATTATACAGAAATATATACTCGAATGACATAAGCAAACCTCAAAAATTGTATTTGTGAATAAAAAAATTAAAAACGTTTACCGATACACCGATTAGGCGCAATATTCTACACTTAAACGAATATAATATTATAATCCGCCGTTTTTTACCGCCGCGCGGAACGCCGTTCGTATATAAGTTCCCGCGTGGAACGCGTCCAAATCATCTATTTTCGGATGGCTGTACGGCGGCGGCGACGACGGCGACGACGACTCCGGCCGCCTTGTCTCGCTCGCTTTATCGCTCACTTGCTTTATCTCTATCGCTCTTTCACTCCACCTATAACACTATCTCTCTCTCACTATATCACTCTCTCTATCGCTCCCAGTACATCTTACTCTCTTTCTCCATCTCTCTCCGTGTCTCTCTCTCTATCTCCTCCGTCTGTCTCTGCGATAATATGAGTCAGTAGGTTTTCCGACTACGAAATCGCTCACGAGTGCCCACTTTAAGCACGCGTGATATACGCGCAGTACACACGGCCACAGATCTGTGCAATATATTATAATATTAAAAAATATAATTCTGCAGCAGTATTCGTATGGATTTTCTTTTTTCTTTACACTGTAGGTGTTTTTTTGCACTCTCACATTTTTCTCATTCAAATAGGTATTATAGTTTCGACGATTTTTCACTCCAGATTTGTCGTCGCGGTCATCGTCTGGCGGAATCATTGGGAGTAGGATTTTAAAACCCATAGGCTTGAGGGTTTAAACGTTATAGATAACGTCATTATCACACGACTTATATCGATACAAAACATAATACCGCATCATAGAGGGTGTATATTATAATTATTATAACATAATACCGATTTCGACGGTCGCGACCCTGCGCCTCAGGTTTTCGCGTCGTCCCGAATGCGCCGCGGTGAGCCGGAGGAGCTAGGCTAGGAATTGTTAACGACTATTTTTGGACGTTTCCGCGGCGGCGGCGACGGCTGCGACACGATATTATGTTACGTAGGGCGGCCAATGACCAAAAACATCGTATATTTTCACTCGTGTGATACCGGCGAAATGCGATCGCTTTGTGCGATACAGTTTTTTTTTCAAAAATTAAATTCACCTTTGATTTTTCCGATTCTTTTGTCATTTATTTGGTGAATTTGCTCATTATAATAGATTACGCGCGTATTTGAAAATTAGTATTATATTCTACGAGGGAAAAATTAACATTTTATTGAGTACTTATAACTATATTAAATAAGTGTGATGTTTTTAAACCGACTACTACTCGCACTTTAATTTCGGACTGCAGAGGACCTCACCACCGCTGCTGGATGATGTAATTTATTGTAAACATTATACCATTTTGGCGTGCACAACCGACGTGAAAGTCAACTAGTCTGTCGGTGATTTGTACACACATTATTGCTGTTGACCACTAAAATGTTATATATTATTATTATAACATATTAGGTATATATAAATTATAAATATTGCAGTTGTCTTCTGAGACACACGGTGAATTATGTGGCCTAGTGATAATTTTTTTGCTAGATCCTTCTCCGCTTATCCTTATAAATGTGAATTGTTAACTATAAAAATAATTGTGTACGTCTTAATACATAAAATATAGGAAAAACAAATTCAACAAAGAAAAATAAATACTATCAAGGAACACGATTCCAGCCAAACGAGGGTCAAGACACTGCTTTTTAAGTTCGATATAGGTACATAGTAATGACGAAATTAATAAAAATAAGTTTTCCTAGAAGAATACAATTTTTGTATATCTACCAACTTACATATTTCGTTTATTAATTAAAACACCATGACTACACAACATTAACAGCTACATGGTTCAAAATTTTAAGATTTATAAAAATGGTTAAATAAGAAAGCCAGTGAGAATACAATATTCGATACAGTAACTCATAAATATAAATATGCTAATAAAAAGTTCTTTCCTGGGCGATTTCTCGCCCCAACCTCGCACCTTTTATAAATGCATCTCTAATATCTGTCTATAATACTGTAAATCTGCCTGTCTAGAGTAACCTTGTCTTTGGTAAAATTAAGGATTTATTTAAATTCTGATTTTTATAATTTTTAACTTTTTAAGTAGGTTACCGATATTATGATATAATTTTTTTTTTTACTAAAAAAAACAATCGGCGACTGCTGTGGCCATTGTACGTAACATTGCTTTACATAATGTAAATATGAAGGCATTATAGATTACAAGTAGGTATTATAATGTAATTAAAATCTAAAGACCATTTTTCAAAAATATTTATACGCATTTAAAAATTTGGAGAGTAGCGATCTATTTTACCTAAGTTTTATTTGGATTTTACAAACCTGATATAATAATATAATGTATAAAATATGTATAAAATACCTAAATAAACACTGCATTATATTATATTATGTGGTGTTACAATAAATTCTAAATTATGGCCGTGGAGCCGTCCTTGTACGAGAAGTTTGCGAATAATACACACACGACATAATATACTATAACATATTATTATTATAGGTGACTGATATACGTAATACCCTGACGTGCCGACGTATAGGTTCATAGTCCTTGGAAAACAGGTGACGCGTTTCGTCAAAACGGAATTGACGAGTATTGCGATAATTAATATTATTTATTAAACAATATATTAGCGTTTCACTGGAATGTTATGCGCACTCGTGAACGGCGATGGGAAAACGATTTGGGAAACTTATTGAGATCAGAGGCGAAGAAAACGGTCGATGGTCACTGTAGTTTTTCTATGATAATATTACCTATTATATTATGATGACTGTCCAATGGAAAATATTTCGGTTACCCGTTTGCGAGTAAATAAGTCGGGTTTCCACGAATTCATCGTGTCATGTCGTTTTTATACTTATTACGTAGGTAACAAAATGTCGGTTGAATATTATATCGAACTCAATATACACAGCGATGTAGGTAGCTAAAAAATAAAAACTATAGATTGCTAAGTGCTGTATAATACTATTTAAATTAATGTAGCTGTCGTTTGCCTTCATCTTGGAGTATTATAAATTATAAATGTATGTATAAACGGATTGTGTGGATAATAGGTCATAGCACAGAATGTTTTGTGATAAGATCCATTATTCCCACTAAAATGGCGCATATATTGACTTCGCCTATAATTATCACCAGTTATCAATCTAGTTTATTATCTATATATCAGCTGTGACTCTGTAGTCCATTATATATGTGTGTGTATATATATATATATATTGTAAATTATAATGTATAATTTTATGTACCACACGGTACAGTTGAAATTTATAACTCAGCTTAACGTAAACCATAATGGCCGACGGTCACCACGACCGTGGTACAAATTTTAACGGAACGACTGCGGTATACATTTTGCGACCGCGGTCCGCACGGGCTACCGTGG